TCATGAACAAACAGTTGGTAATCATTTTCTTCTAGCCCATGGCGGTTGTCACCTTGTAGGGATAGCAATTGATTCTAACCACCAGAGCATAGCTGTAGAGGGACAGACTGAGGTGCTATGTATCATCAATGTTCTTCCTAATGATGCTTTGAGTCCATAAGAGTGTCTAGACTGGACTAACCTCACCTTCCTAGGATTCATTTTTGTTGCTGTTAAGTGCCGTGGAGTAGGTTCTGACTCATAGTGCCTCTGTATAGGGTTTCCGAGGAGTAGCTAGTGAGCTTGAGCCACTGACCTTGCATCCAAACTGACTTTGCAGTCCAGTGCATTAACCCATGGCACCACACCCAGGATTTCACTTTTGATCATAACCACGCTAGTTCATTTTTCATTTGTTTTGAGCAATTTGATTATATCTTGGTATAGTTTTCTTCTTGTTTCTTGTGCTTGAGATTTGTTGAGTTTCTTGGATCTGTTATTTTTATAATTTTGATAAAGTTTTAACATTGTTGTTGCGTGCTGTAGAGTTGGTTCTGACTCATAGTGACCCTCTTAGGGTTTCCAAGAAGTGGCTGGTGAGCTTGAACCACTGAACTTTCAGTTCAAACCGACCTTGCAGTCCAGCACATTAACCCTCAGTGCCACATTTCCTTCTTTGCTTTCAGGGACTCCAATTACTTGTATAATAGGCTGTTTGAAGTTGCACTATAGCTCACTAGTGCTCTCTCCTTTTTTTAAGTTCAATTTTCTGTGTTTCACTGTGAGTAGTTGTTATTGTTGTACCTTCAAGCTCACCAGCCTGCTGTTAATCCCATTTTGTATATTGATCATGTCGGTTGGTTATGTGCCATGAAGTCGGTTCTGACTCATAGTGACCCTGTATAGGGTTTCTGAGGCTGTAAATCTTTACGGGAGCAGAAAGCCTCATCTTTCTCCTGTGGAAGAGTTGGCAGTTTTGAACTGCTGACCTTGCGGTTAGCAGCTCAACCTGTAACCACTATGCTACCAGAGCTCCTTATTTGTCATGTTAGGCATTATAGTTTTCATGTCAAGTTCACTTTGAGTCTCTTCTATATTGTCCATGTTTCTACATAACTTTTTTAACACACAGAATACAGTTACAGTGATTGTCTTAAAGTCCTTCATTTCTAATGCTATTATCTATTGCCAGTCCCCAGCCAGGTTGGATTAATTGATCGTTCTCATTATGTAATATGTTGTTGTTGTCGGATACTATCAAGTCGGAACCGACTCATAGCGACCCCATGCACAGCAGAACGAAACAATGTCCGATCCTGGGCCAACCTCACTACCGCTGCCACACTTGAGT